CTCAAAAGTGTTAGTTGGTAAATCATACAGTCACTCTTTCTAGCATGTACAGAAGGGCACTGTCATGGGAAAAGGTTGAGGAGAAATCAGAGAAAGGCATAACTAGAAGCTAGACCCTAGTGGGTCCCTCTCAGAACTGGACAGTGGTGGCAACAGAGCTGGAGAGCTGCTGTCCATCCTGGGGCTCAGAGCGTCTTGGGGGCAGAGGCCTGCCTGGTCCGGGGGTTCTGCATGCTATCATCCCTTGGAGGGCCTGGCACCCTACCACACACTTAAGAGACACTTAATCACATCTGTCATTTCCTTGGTGTCCTCTATCTGCATCCCAAACAGACTTGTGGCCATGACAAATAGAAGCTAGAGCTCTGTAGTTCCCTAACCAGCCACAAACCAAGAGCCAGGTACTCCTGACTCTCTGGGCACCAGGACTCAGCAGCTGCTCAGGCAAGAGCAGGCTTCTAGCAGAAGGTCCAGAGGCAGATCTCAGCCAAGATGACCTCTGCCTCCTTAGGGTGGGTGGACAGCAGGGGCAGGGGAGGAGGTAAAAGATGGAATGTCTAGAAGTCCTCTCCTGTGTTGGATAACCACTTAGTCTGGCCCACTGGACTCCAGGCATCCTTCCACTGAAAGCCTTTGGGTACCTGCTATCTATTCTGGAGGTAGAGAGTCGGAGTCCTGGAGTCAGTTCTCAGGGTCAATTCTACGGTTGCGTAGGGGAGAAGACTAAAAACCACAAGCACAAATAACCAAGGCACCCCAATTATTATGGCTTTACCTTCCATAATAATTACACAAAGTCTGATGGCTTGTCTGAAGAAGAGTGAGGGGGTCAGGAAAATTTCACTCTTCCTTTACCTCCTTTCCTATTCCCCCTTCCCAGTCTCTCCCTTAGCTTGGTAAGGGTCCAAGTCATAGCTGATCAGGACCAGCCAAATCCAAAGCCATGGGACTCAACCAGAGCACAGGCTATGAATTCCCCAGCATTTGGCAGATTGGGCCAGCCTCACAGCCTGGTCTGCCTCCCTGGATTCTTCTGAAATAGGTCTAGAGAGGCTGCAGAGTCAGGGCCTGGACTCTGGGACCCCTATTTCTGCTCAAAGATCTCTAGCGCCCAAAACAGAAGCCAAAGGGAAATTTGCAATTTACTGCCTCCTGGTCTGGCTGTTTGCCAGTCCTGAAACTACTCCAGAAAGACCCGCAATTCCCTCAGCACATGGGCAGGGAAGGGATGGTGAAGGTTCCCCAACACACAGCACTCTCAGTTCATAGAGCTGAGGCTCAGGTGTCCAGAGCCTGGGTAGGGGAAGCCTTGGGCCTCTAAACCCAGAACCTTCCCACACCCGCCCCTCCTCCTTCTCCTCTTTCAGAAAATCATCTTTACTCCCTAGCTGGAGTTAAAACGTATGACTTTGCTGGTCCCAGACCCTTTCCAACATTCTGTGGAACCTTTCCACCTTTCTGTGTGCCCACATCACTAGCAGAGGTGGGTAGTTAACAAGTTCATTAGGCAGAAATGGAGTGGCGGGTCGGAAAAGTGTGCAATGCTAGCATCTTCCTCCCGATCCTAGGAGAAGGAGAAGAGGTATGGCTTTACTGCAAAGCCACAATCCCTTCACAGTCAACTCCTTTGGGAATCACCCCCATCTTACAACCATTTCTGTGTGGGGTGTCTTAACCCCTGTGCTCCCTCACCCTCCCCACCCCACCACTGCTGACCATGAGAAAGACCGTCTTCCAGCACGGAGCTTGAGCAGAACTGAACTCTGCCCAGGAGAGCTTCTGCAATGCTCAGAAAATGCCTGCCCAACTGCTTGCCTGGGCTCTGGCCCCTCTGGCTGCAACTGAGCCCAGACAGGAGGCTGACTCACTCACCACACGGAGGAGGAAGAGGAGGAGGAGAAAGAGGAGGAGGAGGTGCGGGAAGGGTCTGGGCTTAGAGACCCAAGGCTTCCCCAGCCCAGGCAGACTGGGTCTCAGCCTCTGGTCATGGTTGGGGGCTTGGGAGACAGCTGTCCACTAGCCCTGGAGACCACAAGCTGTTCCTTCTTATCCCTGAGTACTTTCCCTTAATCCTCCTCACCCAACACCCACAAACTAGGTCCCCCTCACTCCCCAGACAGAATTAATTCTCTGAGCCCCCTCCCCATTTACCCACTTAGATGCTTGCCTTTGAGTTTTTTTTGTTTTTTGTTTTTTTGACATCTATGGGACAGGCTTCCCCCACCCCCTCCATAATAGATTCAATGTACTAGGGCCAGTTATGTCTAAAATAATGGGATATTTTTTAAATGTTTCAAAAAAAGAGAGAAAAATACTTAAAAGATCCAACTCCACCATGGCGCGTGATGATATGCGGCTCCTACGAGAAAATAAGGTTGCACACACTCCACCCGCAGAACTCAGCGCCGTCGACGGCCAATTGCTCCCTTTCTTATTCCTCCACTCCATGCCCAGGCGCCCCACAGAGGAAGGAAACAAATGCTTTTTGTGGCCCAAGTGCTGAGCAAATCTGCGCCCAGCCGCCTGAGCACCAAGGAGGTGGCCGCCCGCCTCGCCAGCCTGGCACGGGCTTCAGCTTTCTCAGACCTCAGTGCCCCCTCAGAGTCTCAGCCTCATGGCACGACAGCCCAGATCTCAGTCGCCAACTTTGCCCCTGAGACTTGGGCGCTAGTGCCTGCATCTGGGCACTCAGGCCCTGGTACCCCCGACGACCCGACCCTGGGTCTCGCTCCTGTCCTGGGACCCCCGTTTCCCGCTACTCGGGTCCGCACCTGGTTCGGCGGGTGGACACGCTGCTCGGCGTTCCCAGCGCCTCCGGCTTGGCTGCTGCCTTTTGACAAGCAGAGACAGCCCAGCACCTGGCCCCTCCCCTCGGGAGGCCCCGCCCCAGGGGTCCTCCCCGTCTCTTGGCCCCGCCCACAGGTCTGGTCCTCTCTTGCCAAAAGCTCCATCCGCGTTGCAACCATCTTGTCTTGGAATCAACCCCTGCACGGTCGCCTTGGACATTCTGCTTCGTGAAAGCTTCCATACAGCAAGGCATGTTTCTGCCCTCTGCGGGTCGGGGTTGTCAGTGATTACGCGTGTGCGCTTCTGCCCGCAGTAACCCCGATGTATCCCCACCC